GGTGGGGTATTTATCATTCGGGTGCCAGGATGGGATATTTATCAATCAGATGCTGGGATGGGGTATTTGTTGGGAGCCAGGATGGGGTATTTATAAATCAGGTGCTGGGATGGGGTATTTATCATTCGGGTGCCAGGATGGGGTATTTATCAATCAGGTGCTGGGGTGGGGTATTTATCAATCAGGTGCTGGGATGGGGTATGTATCAGGTGTGATAAATCTGAATTTTCACACACAAAAACTTGAGCACGTTTCTTAGCCGAAACTTCCGGGCAGTGAAGCACACGGCTGTTGGCTGGGGATTAGACCTCCTTCAGGTCCCGCCACCGTCCGGGGAGAATTTTAAAAATAGAAACCAAATCCTAAGCGAGGCGCATAATCCGGTTTTGCTCTGTCTGCTGCCGCTTGCGTTTCGGCTTCCAGCCCCGGGGGGCTCGGCTGTAGCTGCACCCCTCGGCCCCGGGGGCACCCCCCCTCCTCCCCCCCCCCCCCGCCGCCTTTTTTTAGGGGGGAGGCGGGACGGGGTTTTGCGGGGCGCTGCCGGCATCACTCGTAGGAGCACTGGTAGTCTGGAGGTGACGGCTGCGCTGGTCCCTGCCCCACGGAGCATCTCCCCCCCACCCAACATCTGTAGCACAGCAGGGCCGGGTGACAGGGAGGATGGAAGCTGGGGAGAAGGTAGAGGAAAGGTTACGCTTCTTCCTGGGAGCCCAACTGTGCTCCCGTTAAAAAAATCCCTTTCCACCCGCGTGGCAGCGCGGGTTTTGGGTGCCTCGAGGGGTGACGTCCCCTTGTCTGAGCCCACCGCTCTGGACACGCTGGTTGTGCAGGGGATGGCGTGCAAGGCTTCGTTAGAAATGATAATTTCCACCCATTTCGTGGCCGGACCGGGGTTTGCCTGGGGTGGTGGGCGATGCGGAGCGCTGGCAGGGGTGCGGGATGCCGTCGGGGTGACTCGGTGACGCCTGCTCAGCAGTGATCTCTGTCTCCCTGTCTCTCCCCTCGCTGCCGGTCCAGTCCCGCCAGACCCCGGAGGGCGAGTTCCTGCCGCTCGACCAGCTGGAGCTGGACGTGGGCTTCAGCACGGGGGCCGACCAGCTTTTCCTCGTGTCCCCGCTCACCATCTGCCACGTGATCGACGCCAAGAGCCCCTTCTACGACCTGTCCCAGCGCAGCATGCAGACGGAGCAGTTCGAGATCGTCGTCATCCTGGAGGGCATCGTGGAGACGACGGGTGAGTAGCGAAAGCGGGTGCTCCCCGAAGCACGCGTCGCGCTCGGGGTCTCACCGCCCACCTTCCGAAGCGTGGGGTGCTTCGGGTCGCCCTCCGATCCAACCATGTGGTGACGTTCTGAAAGTGCTTCGAGATGGCCAAAGTTGTGTTTGGGCGGTGTGTCTGTGGGCGAGGTGACGCGCCGCAGTGCTCCCGGCGAGGCGGAGAAAGCCCCGCCGCTGCTGCTGCTGTACCCAGAAGGTCTTGGACCGTTTTTTCCAGTCCGCGTGCTGGTGTCGCAGCGTTTCCGTGCTGGGCTGCCCGTCGAGCGCGGGGGCAAACATCCGAGAGCTCCCGGGCGCAATGGCCCTGAAGCTCAGCCCGGTACTGGGGAGGCTGGGGGCAGCGGGGGGAATCACCCGTGCTGTTGAGGAACAACTCCCTGGTGGTTGAGGATCAGCTCGCTGGTGGTTGAGGATCAGCTCCCTGATGGTTGAGGGTCAGCTCCCTGATGGTTGAGGATCAGCTCCCTGATGGTTGAAGGTCAGCTCCCTGGTGGTTGAGGATCAGCTCCCTGGTGGTTGAGGATCAGCGCCCTGGTGGTTGAGGATCAGCTCCCTGATGGTTGAGGATCAGCTCCCTGGTGGTTGAGGATCAGCTCCCTGATGGTTGAGGATCAGCTCCCTGGTGGTTGAGGATCAGCTCCCTGGTGGTTGAGGGTCAGCTCCCTGGTGGCTGAGGATCAGCTCCCTGGTGGCTGAGGATCAGCTCCCTGGTGGTTGAGGATCAGCTGCCTGGTGGTTGAGGATCAGCTCCTTGATGGTTGTAGGTCAGCTCCCTGATGGTTGAGGATCAGCTCCCTGATGGTTGAAGGTCAGCTCCCTGGTGGTTGAGGATCAGCTCCCTGGGGGTTGAGGATCAGCTCCCTGGTGGTTGAGGATCAGCTGCCTGGTGGTTGAGGATCAGCTCCCTGATGGTTGTAGGTCAGCTCGCTGATGGTTGAGGATCAGCTGCCTGATAGCCATCAGGGAGTTATTCCTCAGCTGAGGAACAACTCCCTGCTGTCAGCACGGCGGTCTCGGGGTGGGGGGGGCATCTCAGGGCTGAGACCCAGACCAGAGGAGTCCGGGTTGTTGGGTTTTTTTCCCCCAGCAGAACTGTTTCAAAACACAAATGATGGAGGAAGAAGAGTTTTGTAAATAACTGGGTAGAATTTTGAAACAAAGCGGTGTGTTTGTGTGCTTTTGGGTTTATTTTTGTAAACATTTCAGACTTGGGCATTGTACACAAAACAAACAAGAAAAAAAGGTATTTCTGGATCTTTAAAGCTGAACTCGTACAAGCTTGCGAATTTTGTGACCCAGTTTCACAAGATGAGATGAATATTGGGTAAAATAGAGCAAGATGTGCTCTATCTTGATAAAGCGTGGAGGGATTAAAGGGTTTTAAATTAAAAAAAAAAATCTTTAAAAATGTGAATAAATGAGGAAGGAGGAGAGCATTGAGCTGGAGGGCAGCAGGGCTGGAGCAGGACCCGTGTCGGCACCGGTGAGAGCGCGGTGAGGGCACTGGTGAGGGATGGCCAGCCCTCCTGGTGCTGCGGGCGTCCTCCCCGAGGGCTCCGGGCTCAGACCTCGGCGGTGGTGCCTGGAGTCTGGAGTTTGCAAGGACAATCGCAATGCTCCGTTGATCCTACTGGGAGTGGTGTTTAACTCCATTACGAGTGGTCTGGGTAGGCTGGAGATGAGAAGGCTGAGGGGGGACCTTCTCGCTCCCTACAACTACCTGAAAGCAGGTTGTAGTGAGTCAAGGGTTGATCTCCCAACTAGCCAGCAACAGGACGAGAGGCGATGGCCTCAGGTTGCGTCAGGGGAGGGTCAGATTGGATATTGGGAAAAATGTCTTTACTGGAAGAGTGGTCAGACATTGGACCAGGCTGCCCAGGGAGGTGGTGGAGTCCCCATTCCCTGAGGGGTTCAAAAACCGTGTAGATGTGGCACTTGGGGACATGGTTTAGCAGGGGTAGTGGTTTTGGGGTGATGGTTGGACTTGATAAGGGTGGTGATCAGGTGATCAGGGTGGTGAAACTTCATAAGGGTGGTGATCAGGGTGGTGAGGCCCTGGCCCAGGCTGCCCAGAGAAGCTGTGGCTTCCCCCTCCCTGGCAGGGTTCAAGGGCAGGTTGGATGGGGCGGTG